ACGTTACGATTAGTAATCGTTTTTACGTACTCACAATTAGTAGGTATAGTAACTGTTTTCTTTAGTACAAAAATGCAATATTTTAATACAGAAGTCTTACACGCTTTAAAAACATATGAAGCCTGTACAAACAGAAATCTTTTGATTGATATCTTTCGTTTATAATTAACACGTTGAATGCCACGGGGGTCACCGGTGACCGCCACTTAACTTGGCGGTGACGCCAAATTGATAGAAATATATATAATTTAAAACAAATGTCAATATCTAAAATTTTGTATTATTGCCATCGTCAATTCAAACAGTGACCACCGTCGCAATTAACATGTTAAACATGATTATACACTGTAACTTATCTATTGCAGATAATATTTCAACGTTATATGTATCACATAAAAGAAAATTCATCGTGGCGCCACGGACAATTTCTGTAAAACCGGCGTGGCATTCAACGTGTTAAAAATCAATTGGAAAACTGACGTTGCTTTTAAATTAATTATTAAAAGTTTACGTGAAAATTTCTGCAAATCGACCACGGTGAAAATACTAATTTTCAGAAACGTATAAAACTGTTCACTGACGGTTGCGAGCGACAAATACGTGGTAATTACCATAAATTTTGAAAGAGTTCTCGGGATTTCTTCTCAATATCGTAAAGAACTTGTTCGGTTAGTTAATATTTCTGTATGAACGCGATAAATTCCGGTTTGAAACAACAGAGTTGTTCTCGATTTATGCGGGGCGTGTACCTACAATGGCTGGTAAACTGTGGGCTCGTTCGACTGAGAATACAATATGAATACAGGCAATTAACCAATCGTTATCGAACAATAGCTACACGCGGTATTGTCGAACCGACTGGAACGAAGTAAGAAATGCGAAATTCTGCGAACGCGTACGGTCTAATTAAATGTTATTCCAATTAGACGAAAGCGTGAAAAATTGTTAGAGAAAAGTTCCATTAATTGTCGTTAGCGATAATTGCATAGCGGATTCTGTACATTTGCACCGTGCAAACGTGTACGAAACACGGCGGAATAAAAATATTAATTACTACTATGCTTCGCCTTTGATCAAACGAACCTTTGTACCAGATAAATCTCGGTTTAATTAACAAAACTCGAAAGTTCTCGGCGAAACAAACGCTCCTTTCTGGCGAATGTTCGGATCGGATGCGTGCGTAATCGATATTCGCGAGAAAAATGCATTCGATCGCTATAAAACAGAACGAGAACGTCCAATCGCCTACTTTATCGGTGGTATTCACCGTAGGAGGGTTATTATACTTGTTCTAATAATTCGAGAACGTACGACAACGGCGACAGCGCGTCGGTGGTGGTATTAACGATGTTGATTTATTACGAGAAAGAGCGAGCTCGTTGCGTCAGGGTTATTAACTATGGCAATATCCACGGTAAAATATTAATGACGTTGGCAGTTCTTCCCGGGGTTTGAAGAATAACGGTGTCGCGACGAGCGGGATATCGTATGACACTACTATGCTCGCAGACTCACTCTCCGGCAGATTTATTGGATTTTATGAAAATCAGGAGGAACATCGATTTCAATATTTACTGCTTACTAAAAGAGAAATTGGATTTATGAAAGTTTTATTGGCCCTTTGACAACGAATGCTTTTTCACGTCTATGGAAATGGCGATGCTTGAATCCAGTCAGACAGTTGTTTGTCAGCTTTTTTAAATACGTTATGGAAGTTACTTTGTCCAGCTTTATTGACCATCTTATTGCTCTAGCTGAAATAAGTCTTTAATTCAAATTAATTCAAATTGCAAGGGTGTATGAATACGAATGCGGCTCATTACAGGTGACTCTCGAAGTTCTGAAATCTATCACTTAATGCTCCATTTCCAATTTAAATTATTCGTTTTAGCCTGCATATTACAATTTTAATTATACGACTCGGGATCTTTCAGAAATTGAAAAACTCTCAAATGTTACCCGGTGAAGAGTTAAAAATCTCTGAAATATCATTCGGTAAAGAGTTAAAAATCTCTCAAATGTCACTCGGTGAAGAGTTAAAAATCTCTCAAATGCTACTGGTTGATTTTGTGATAATCTCTGATAATCACCGGCGAAAGTATTAACACGTAAAAATGAGCAACGCTTGCATCAGATATATGAAAAGATTCAAATTGCGATGAAAACAAATTATAACAGGACTCGAACCCTCTGTAGAAGTTTCAAAAAGGGATATTGATATGAACTATCGACGCTCCGTGTGAACTTTTATTTCGACGATTTTTTACGATACGATCGCTCACACCATGTCACCGCTACAACGGCAATGCCATCGCGTAAGAGGATTAGTTCTCGATGAACTGTTCGTGTAGCGTTCATGTTTGAAAGCAAGTACAGCATCGTCGATCGAACAGCTAGGCCTGGAAATTAGAATTTGGATTTTACACTGCTTCGTCGATCACCTCTATGCGCATACCAATCGGTAATATAACTGAATATTGCTTCCTGAAACTCGCCATTTTACATTGTTCATAATGAATTTAAATATTATTTTTAAAGTAAAAAGACAAGACAAACTATACTAAATATTAGGTACAATTTATGCAAAGCAAAAAATTATCATTCTTTAAATAGATATTAGAAAAAATCAATATTTCAATTCAGTAATAAATTAAAATAATTATAACACGGACGAATTTATACCGTAGGTCAAGATCACTTATTGATCTTAGATTTATTGGAGTCAAAATAACGTAACGAAAGATTAAAGATGGTGCAAAGTGCATTTCTCTTCCTTTTCCTTTCCTTTCCTTTCATGTTGTATACTGCTTATGTATAGTAGTTCATTATAGAACATAATTTCAGTTCTTTCATGTTATATACAAAGTTCTTTTTACAGTGTGAACGGATTAATAAAAATACGGAAAAAGAAGTAGTCACAAATGAGAAATACTCGCGGTTAAGTAACATTATATTTTTCACACTATATTTATTCAGAAGCAATTTAATTTACTGAGAGCAATCTGTTACATATTTCGTACTAAATTTCATAATAATAAAATTATAAAGTGCCACTCATTTAAAATCACCATTTGAATCCCACAAATTCAGAATTTCTTCTTTCGATGCTGAATAAATTGAAACTAAAAATAAAACGATTTGCAGTATACCAAATGTAAAAACCAATTTTCTCTAAACTTTATTTTACAGAGTACTTATTACACTACTTCTAATTCTCTGTAATGTAAATATTTTTACTATATATTTATAATAAAATAATAATATAATATATTATATATTTTTCTGCAAATAACGCAAAATAACAATTTTGTACAGTGTAAAATTTCGATGCACACGTTTCCCAGTTTTACAATGTATTATCGAGTGAACTTGTATTACCGTAGTGGATAATAGAAATAAAATTGGTGGCTAATTAATAGAAGCTAATTGCTACGCAGACAATCCAAAAGGCTAGCTGAAATTTAACTAAAACCCATTTCGTTGGTTCCGCTTCTGTAACGAAGCTCGCTGAAAATTGTCGGAATTAAAATTTCAAATACCAACACAGAACTAATATATTCATTCCACCAACATTTCCGTCCGCAATGCCCAAAAATTTAGTTCTCTGTTTCGTAGCGAAATTTAATAATCGCGGTAGAACAGTGAAACGTGCAGCGTCGAGAACCAACTAAAATTAAAATAATAGCAATCTTCTTAATTACAAGATACAGTCGTTACCCGCTACAAGGAATACATTTATTTTTTCCTTAAATTTTCCGAGCAGCTGCTGCGAGAATCCGTCCCGAAATGGGAATTCGAGTAACAGTAATTCGTTTCTATTTTTACCACATCGGTTTACAATAAAAATTGTTATTTCTATGAAAAAGAATGATCTACATTCCTCCGCTATGAATCATGAACGAATTAATAATGTTACAATTTGATATACTTTCAAATGGAATTTGGTAATTATTTATTAATTAATCGATACATTTCATTAAATCTCTAGACATTGTATTATGCTTTTCATATCGAATAATATATAATTAGTTTTGAATATATTTTCATTATATTCAATTTAGTACTGTCGCTCTGCGGTATTGTGATTACAATATTGTGTACAATTATGAATTTTTGGATGTAAAGAAATCGATACCATTTCGTATGAAATAATGAGCTGCATCGATTATTCAACAGAAAATTACATATTATTAATTTTATGATAATTTTTTTGTGTTATTTTTTTTTACATGACCTTAGTGCGTCTCTCTACTTGTAAACAGATTTATTACGACTCTGTCAGAACCGTTCACTTCCTACATCAAAGTAAAGGAGCTCGAAATAAGCATTTTAATCAATGAAATAAATTTCTTTCATTCATTATATAATATTATAACTAGATCGCAGATTTTATGTACGTATGACAAAAATAAATAAGTCAAATACGAAACTGCAAGAGCATTAGAAGAATTATTATTAATAGAGAAAATATTAATAATAGAGAAAAGATAATAATAGATATAAATAATAGAAAATAATAGAAATAAATATTATTAATAGAGAAAAGACATTGTCATCAATCTTATGTTCCTTATAATTAATTTACGCAGTCTTTACTTTGCCCAAAAATTATAACAGAAATCGCACAAACTCCAAATAAAATCAGTCTTGTCATTTTGACTACGATGGGCCTCTTACAATTGTTGTTTCGTTCGGAAAGTTGTATCGTTCTTTCACGAGAAAACGAAAGACGATTTTTTAATGTTTAGAGTAAAAAGAAACTTTCTGACATTTTTCCGTTAGCTCGTGCAAGTTTTGTTTTTTATTTGGAAAATACTGAATCCAGTGCTTTCTTGAAACCCTTGCGAAATTTTTTTGAAAAACGAACCAACTTTCCGAACGAACAATACTTTTCAATATTTTTATCTGGCCCGCTCAATCAGATTCAATTCAATCGGATTCCCTCCGTCATCAACACGAAGTTCGTTATTCCAGTCTAACAGTTAATCATTTAATTGCAGAACCCAGTAGCGACAGCCTTCGAGATTTTCTGGATGATCTGCGAGCCGATCCTGTTCGCAGTAACGGGCGCCCAGATAAAAATCGACGAGCTCGACCCGAAAACAGTGTACCTGGGGATTGCGTGCCTGCTGACAGCCATAGTGATCCGAATCGTGACGACGATCCTCGTAAGCATCGGCTCGAAGTTGAATCTCAAAGAGAAGATCTTCGTGGCGCTGGCTTGGATGGCGAAGGCGACGGTGCAAGCGGCTCTGGCCCCGACCACGTTGGACAAAGTCAACCCAGACGACCCCCAACAGGTGTATTATGCCGAGACAGTGATGACAATGTGCGTGCTGTCGATTCTAATGATGGCCCCGTCCGGTGCCGTGATCATTATCCTGTCGGGCCCGAAGCTGCTCACGAAAACCACCACGCCGGTCACGCCTCCGGAGGGCTGGAAGACGCGGCGACCCTCTATGCGCGACATCTCCATCATCAACGAGGACCCGGATCTCGAGGAGACCGCAAACGAGAGGAAGCCTTGAGGCAGAGACTCTTCCCGCCGAAACGTGACCGTTTTCCCTTATTTCGCTCGAGGCTCCCGCTGCCTAACCGCGGGGACTACTCGAGGAATCTCCGTCAGGGTCTCCGGTGTTCCATTTTATTCACTTACTCCAAATATTCGCTGCTAAGCCGATCGTTCCGTCATCGACCGGAACCCTGGTCCGTTTTTCTTCGGGACCGTTGTGTTTGTCGTGGCTCGCGGAACACACCAGCGGCCCGTGTTCCTATTTACGGTCGGGAATATTGATTAAGCTTGTGTGGGACAGCCTTCGGTGTCGGAGATTTTTGACAGAGGAATGAGTAGACACTGTTTGATTGGGACGACTGATTTTTATATCGAACTTAAACCGTGCCTTAATGCGTTAACTGTCGGACCACAGCCTTCAGGAATCTTAGGGGATGGTCAGTGTAAACGAAATTACGTTGGAGATTATTAGAGTGATCGGTCCTTGGATAGTTTTGTCAGATGTATGTGTTAATTCGTGGCCTCTGCAGTTGAACAATTGTAACTTGTTAGTGGAAATCGTTTTTGATATATCAACTTTCGAAATGAGGATTTTTGTAAGGTAACGTTGATGTTGATATACGGAGTGTCCCATAATTATGTTAATTCCCGGAAAGGTGTGACTCCTCAGGTCATTTGAAGTAACTTTTCCCTTAGCGAAAATGCAATCCGCGGCATTGTTTACGAGTTATTAACGAAAAACAGTGACCAATGAGAGGCGGGTTCGGCTGTTCCGCTCATTGGCTCAGCCGCCGCGCGTCAACTGATCTCGCCTCTCATTGGTCACTGTTTTTCGTTGATAACTCATAAACAAAGCCGCGGCTTGTATTTTCGCTAAGGAAAAAGTTACTTCAAACGATCTTAGAAATCACCCGTTTCCGCGGTTATAAATGTTTTAATTATAACATAATTATGGGATACCCTGTTTGCATATCATATATTGCATCTTACATAGTAGAAGATATTACGATATATTATAATATAATATATTACGATATATCGACTGTTTAAAAATATATTGTTGTAAACGACAAACGAGATTGTAGAAAATAAAAAAACCATCATTTTTCTGGAAAGACATTAGTTACGAATGCGATGAAGAGATTAGGAAGAAAATTATTGAGATTATTCTCAAAAGATAGGTTAACGAATTAATTTTTACACTTAATAAGTTCATGCGGCTGTATTACGCAAAATTAATTTTTTATTGATTCATTTTATTTGCAAACAACGGTAGAAAATGATGAAAGTGTGAGTATTGCTGAAGCGAAGAATTGAAAATCATTCACTGTAGGATCGTAAAGAGATTGATAATTGTGGAGCTTGGTGGAAAGTTGCCAATATCGTACAATTTATGAAATTTAAGAAATAGTGCATCGGTAGTAGACAATCTTCTTTTATGAATAATAATGGTGGACTATTTAGTGATCATCATGATCCATATATGAATCAGATAAAGCAATGAAATCATGAAGGAAATTATTTTGTCATAATCTAAAACCAGGAACTGCCTTGAAACATATTTAGGCATAACATAAAATATACGAGATTGATGTAATGTATAAGGAAATCTAATTAAAACGTTATATCATTCAATATCAGTTCAATATAATATTTTCCACTTAATTTAAAAAAAAAAAAACAACATGTTATAAATAGCTGTTATAATAGTTTTATAGCTGTTATGAAAATCGTTTTTAGTATGCAAGAAACAGGCTAAATAAACTATCTTCATCAATAAATGGTTTACACAATAAATAACAACAAATTAATTATGATTTATATGACCAGTACACATCTGGCAACTTTCTTCTACACGTCGCGAGTGTTGAAGGCATTATTTCGTCGAAGAAAGGGAGAAAGTATGGAAATGGAAATTTTTGGTGAAAGGATCGACGAATACGATAGACACGGTGTATCATTGGAGTAAGATAAACGATAAGATTTGTATATAGATTTTAGTTGTTTTCACATTGTGTATTCTAGCAATGATTTAGACTTGTATTACTTCGTGCGTCGAGCATGCGTTGTGTACTTTTTGTAAAATTCTTCTGGTGCTGACGATTACAATTAAGAAGAGAGATGGACGAATGAGTGTACCGTGTGAATATTTGCACATAATCCGTGCATGTATAATAGAATGGAAGAATACAATACCTAGATCCAGAGAATTAATTAATCGATTGGTAGAAAGATCAGTCGAGGTTCATTCGTGCGCGAATTAATCGATTTGATTTTAATTGGCCTAGAAGTACTCTTGATTTCGTTTGTCTGGTGGGTGAGAGGATGACTGTATAAGTACAGTGTGCTACTGTTATAGTCTAGATTCTACCCTACGATAAGTATTAAAGACGATGATATTAGTTACCCCGACGCTGCTGTGCATTTAATATCCTGATTGTTACTATGAAATTGTAGGAAAACAGTGAGAAATGACGTACATATATCTGCACGATGTTTCAAACAATAAATCGTGCAGACGAAAAGAAGCGCGGATTGTTAAATTTGAATGTGAAGCGAGACGTTGCGTTCGATAGATAAAAACTCTTTTATAATCTCGCTGTAAGGAGCAGACGCGAGAAAATAACATGGCCGTTCACCTAAGGCGGGCAAAAACGAAGACCCAAGGAGACAGGAAAATTAGTGGCGGCAAAAACGACTTTTGAAAACCGCGAGTCTTCGAACCGGTAACTGGCGCAGATATCCTCCGATATAAAGAAAAATGAAGGCAATAAAACAACAGAGAGTGAATTGGATTCGTTCCTTTGGACGATATGCAAACCGTTCTAAAATCGAGAGAAAATACGACTCTCGTCGAACAATTTTCTGCAATACTATCCGTAATGCGTGAGATACGCGTTGGTAGAAATTCCTGGTTTTATCAATTTGTCCGAAGGAAAAGGCGAAATAATAGATTCATAACTGACTACATAAATGTCTGTGCATTGAATTTCAGATTTTTAACAAATTATCGATATTTGAACTGTTACAATTTCAATAGTGTAAAAAAGAGTCATATCATAATAAATCTGGACATTTTTTAAAACTTGAAGCCTCTACTTTCATAATCCATCCTTCAGTTCTTCGTTTACGTCCTTAAAATCATTATAAAAGTTTTTTCACGAACAAACGGACCACGGATTTTACGATTGAAGCTTCTCATTTACAATGACCCTTTCAAAACTTGGTGTACGATGTGTTTCATTGGCCGTTTTATGAAACAGAATCGAGGAACAAATTCGATGTTACTGTAAAGTAGGCAGTACAGCTTTCATTCGTAGTTTAATAGGGTGGCGAAAATAAATCCTACATCAAAGTTTAAGGGGTCATAGGTGAAAGGAAGACTTAAATCTTGATATCGATATTAGGAACAGTCGTGACAAAAATTTTCCAGTGTATTTACAATGGAAATGTCCGCAACATTTTCTAAATAGCGCATGTCGTCAGATTCCCACCTGTTACGTTATGCAGGATCATGTTACAGAAAAATGAATAAAGCATTGCGTAAGTAGAAGCTTCACGCTTGAAAATCAGCCCAACTTCGTTGCTACGCGATACGAAACAATTTACGAAATTATAATAGTTCAAATATTGATAATTCGTAAAAAATCGGGAATAAAGTGTACGAATACTTTTTACAGTGACTGTATGTAGGTAAATGTACAAAAATTAAAATGTGTTGAAATGATAAAAAATTAGAAAAAGTCAAAATAGTTCAGAATGGGTAGGTATCCGATATGGAACGCCTTGAAGATCTGTAAAGAGGATCGCGGAAACTGTAGTTTTTGTTATGCAAGTGGATATTTTTTAAATAGATGATACGAATAAACGAATATATTTTATTTTCTGGAATTCATTGCAGCCTTCAGCGTTTCCTACGTGTAGAGAGATTCGTGTTCGTATTTAAGTTTTTTAATCGTCGCCGCAAAATGGGTATTGCGCATTATTTACACTTTTTAACAAGGCAAGAAATTACTAGTTTTGCTAACGAGAACTGTGATTTCAACAGTAAAATATTTGCTGAAAATGCGAAACGCACAACCAATACTTTCTATCCGTTTACTTGACTCTCGGCGCAGAATTTAACTATTTGATTTACATACGGGAAATTTTTGCTTGTTGTGAAAAATAAAAACGTTCCATGTCCAATAACGAATGCCCAACTGACGCTCAACTGTTGACACAATCTGCTACTCCTAGAAAACTAGTATACACTACGTCACAGGCAAAGTTGTACACCACGTATAAAAGTACATCCCACACGATGAAAACAGTCTAAACATATCTCTATAGTAACGTCAAAATAAATGAAATTGTTCAAACATTACAAAAATAAAGTTACCGTGATTCTGAAAAATATCTCACAACAGAAATGGTACATTTATGGAAAACTTCTTTACATCCATTGGAATTGAAATTAAAACTTCAGTTTGTAGCTTCCTCGAAGTTCAAGATCAGTACAAATACACATTATTTCTCCGCATTTAATAATAATTTATGCAATCAACGACAATTTCTCCTTTATAATACAATATAATAGTTAGAAAAGTGGAAACTCGATGATGTTCCATATTACCTGCATTTATTCTACAAAGTGAAATAATCTGAAAGAAGTGAACGTTTAAAGCTGAATTTCATGTTTGAAACAAAGGGTCCATTCTAAATGACACGCGAGTATTGTTCCATTTATAATTAAGTTGTGGAATCGTGAGCGAAACCAGTTAAGCAGTGATTTAGTAAGAATATCCATGTTTCTGCGGGACGTGGTTCTTGATGCAGTTGGAGTTGAGCAAACTTTTACGGCGAAAAGCGTCTCTTTGCGACGATTACAAAGGCTCTCTGTTCGGCACGGTGACGATGAGCGATTTAATAAGCTTACCGTCCTTCCCGCCGACATTGTCGACTTACACGCGCGAACAGCAGCCTGCCAGGCTCTCTCCTTCGTGATTTCGTCTTCGCAGGGTCTACATAGTACCCTGGAATGGTGGAGGAGCTCGCGAAGCTCGCAAAGTTCCAAGATTTGAAACGAACATTTTCAAATTTATTAACGCGACCTCTTAACGCGTCGTTAATTCTCAAGACGCCGTCTCGAATTGAAGCTCATTTTGTAGGTTGGGTAGCAAGGATTATGAGCATATTTTTTATAAATTTTTAAACGTGTTCGAGCAAGATGGTTTTAAGCGGGGAATAATCCTTCGGGGAAAATTTACGAAATCAAAGTTCGTTTATAATTCTCGATATTTTGGAAATTGAATTTTTGATAGAATAAATTTGTTTACAATGATCCTTCCTGAATTAAGAAACAATAAAATTCTGTGATAAAAAATGAATTAACTCGATCTGATGATTAGTTTACGAGATATACATATATTTATAAGGTGCAAATATATTATTATATATTATTTAAATATATTATTTCGTACAAATGGTAAGTAGGAAACTTTGGAGGTTCGTATTTTGTGGATAAATGTGAACTTAGCAAGGTGACGATTGGAACCACCCCTGATGTAATATAAACTAAACCGACGATATTTTTGAACGAAATTCTTGTCGTCAGGATCAAAGAGTTTAATAGAACTTGATAAATTGGTGCAAACAAGATAACAAATAACGCTGATCGTTTCTTATAATTTCTAATGCCGCTTTCTAATTCAGAAAGTGTGCGGTTCCATGCGGCAGGGGATTTCGTTTACCTCTTTTTCGGTACACCACCATTTATCATAAAGACTCATGCGTATATTCAACGTTGGTGATCAGCGATACGCGAAATCTTTATTCGTCGAACAAAACCATAATTGACGCGTTAACCGTTAAATTTTAATCACAAGCATCAACTTGCGAGCTTTTCGACAGTTTTAAATCATTCATCTAAGCGAACGAAGAACGCGATACAACAGAATCGCTCATCAATTGCATTGTCAATCTTTATTACGTCGTCAATAATGTACAGCGACGAAAATAAGAAAGAAAAACAACAAGTAATATAAAAATAAGGGAAAAACAAAGTATCGCAAGGTACAAAAAGTATATTTGGTCGGTTCTCGGGAAGATATATGCCCGGATTGGTGCACAAAACGCAAACCGTTGGTTCCAGTGATATTCCATAGTTGATTGGTCAAGGTGCCAAGCTAACCGCGAAACTTGACGTTAGAGTGCTGTTGCTAGCACTCTTTTTCACTCTGCTTGGATCTTGGATTGTGGACGTCCCTTGGCTGTTGCATTTCGTTATTTCTGGAAACCCCAACCTTTTCTTCAGGGCCTGGTACACTCGGGGCTTCAGCACGAACAGGATGAATATAAGCAAACCGTGTAGACAGTTCAGAGCGTCCGACCAATAAAACACTAATTCCTTCCAATGGTAGGTGGAATAATTGTTCATCAATGAGGACGCACTCTCCGCAATCCACAAGATCCCCATCACGATGAACAACTTTACGTTCATGATTAATCTGGTGACACGAAAGAGTTTTAGTAATCATTTGAACATGATGAGACATCTGCGCCTCAAATATCTTTGTTATCTCCAAACGTATGTGAAATGTCTTAAGGACGATGTTGTCTAAGAACGTCGTATTTGTTTTTCTGTTATTTCCTTCTTTTAGGGTCATCAAGATAACCCTCATTTTTTAACTGAATTCAGTGACCAATTATTCGAAGTCATGCAAGATCGCGGACAGAGAAAACGCAATAAGATTTAAAATATGAGAACAGAACTACTCGTTTATCACGAGTGAAGCTTGCAGTGAATATACTAAGGTTCTTCAATGTTATAAATGTTATTATATGTTTGAACAACAAAGGTATTTCAGGTGTAAATAAAATGCTTAGCGTTTATTGGAATTTAGGAGAATATATTAATCAAGTTCGAGGTGTTGTAATTTTGTGAATGAAAATTGGTCAATGATTCACTGGTGTTCGTTACACGGAATAGAGCTTCATTTTTCATCGTCCAGATTACACTGATAATACAAATTAGAGGATCCCTAAGTCGCTGGAGAAATATTTTTAATGTTTTCTCGCGAACAAACAATTCAACAAAAATCGACCTGTACTTATTCTGCGGGGTAAAATCTCTCCTTCAATCATCTAAATGTGATCATTGATTAAAGCATACACAATAACAAAGAAATGAATGCAACGACTACAAAAATTGTACCTACAAAAGTTTCACCTACTGTAACTTGATGCAAAGTAATTGAAAAGCGAACTACTTCAATTTATATTAAAGGACGATGATTTTATCTTGTACTTCTACTTCTACTTGAATTGTTTCTTATGAAATGTATTTGATTAAAGCACACGAAAGAAGAAAATTGATCTTGGTATATTTTGGATGAAAAAATGTAGATATATTAGACGTTACGCAAATTAAATAACACTGCATTAACTTATTTTACAAGGCACTACTTTAAATTCTTTAAATTATACTTTCCAAAAATACTGTTGCATTTTAGAACGTGAATGGATAACCGAAGACAGAAATCTCTACGAAGTTTAATATAGATCTTGAAGATTAAAGTTTCCCTCTTTTCCAACGGCTCCATAAAATTTGATGTACTATTTTTCTTCGCCGTTTTATCACATTTTGAGTGAAAGGTGTGCCCGAAGCGCAGCGTTATCTTTTTCTCGTTAACTTCATAATTTAAAAACACTCTCGAAAATATAACTTTCGCGTGTAAAAAGTGGAAGTTTCATCCTTTAAGATAAGCCGGTGTGGATCGTTTTCCGATTTTCTTTCGCTAACTTACAACAGCTTAAAACGTCGACTACTTTATCGTTGAGTTGCGGCTGTTTAATTTTAATCTTCAATATATTTCCTGCATAACCGGGAATTGATTTTGGGCTTTGTGTTAGCTTTTAAAAAACACAGTCGATAAAACTCACTTGGTTTTGTCAGCGTGAAATCGTTTGCTCCTGAAATCCAAAGGGTCGGTCACCTTGCTTATCTCGGCTTTCACCTTGCTACAGTGTTCAGACGTGAGAATGAAGAACACCACGTTCGACGTCAACTGGATCGCGACTGGTACCCTAAAGAATATCAGTTCGCCGATCATGTTGCCTGTAACATACGACAACAAAATTGAACTTCATATACTCAAGATGAAAGCTATTCGATTAAATAAAAGACTAGGAAAAAATCTTAATTCGATTTTGTTCAAATTAGTGAGGGAAACAGTACATTTCTATTTAATTAGCCGCATTTAAAAAATGTTTATCTTGCTAACAAATCTACAGTCTAAATACAACTTCTAATTAAATTCTCCCTAATTGACCCTCAGCTTGGAAACAAAAATGAACAATTTGGGAAGAGGAAATACGATAAAATAAAAAATGAGCCGAAAGTTTTTTGTTCAAGCTGTGGATCAATTAGGGAGAATTTATTTTATTCAGATTGAATATAGGGTTGAACGTATCCTCATTAACAATGGTAGAAGAAAAAAATAGTTAACATTGGTATTAATATATTTGTGTTCAAAGAAGAGCTCGATTATCTGTTAATATTTGAAAAATTCATTTAATAAGCTCTATCGTTCTTGTTATCGTTTTAACATTCTGTCACTTTAGAGATGTTTTTCTAACTAACTTTGTTCATTCTACAATTGCATGTGTACGATGTAAATGCAATACTGCACTACTATATAATTCTTTCAACAACCACATCCGCGATGAAATATTTTCTGTCAAGATAGCAGACGAATGAAAAGAGTCAAAGTAGATTTCAAGAAACAATTTTTAATTACATCGGCGTCCTTGCGACTGTAAAAGAAAATGGTAACAAGGAATCCTCGACAGAATACCTTCTCTGTAGAGAGAATATAAAGTAACACTTGAGATCCGACCTTGCAGACAATTATAACGAATTTCTGCTTGCTATTCGATTCAACGAAAGTCGGAAAAAGAAGGAACGAAGCAGCTGTGGAACATTTGGATAATAAAGGAATTTAGTCTCCAGTCGTCTTTAACGAGGCGACTCTTAAAACTGGATTTCATGCAAAAACGTCGTCCACCCACACAAACTAATTAGCGTAATTAGTTAAATGGCTGGCACTCCCTTAGCGAAACAGAAGAGAGACCATGTATCATTTGGCTAGCTTACACCGAACAGTCACGCAGTGGTCAAGATACATACGTATTTGAACGCGTTTTGTGAATCCACGGTTGGAAAATACTTCGAGATGTTACTTTCAGTTAACATATATCTACGTTTATTCAACGTCATAAAAAGCATCGTATTAAATGTCGCTATTCTTCGCTTTCAATTACATATTGAAACTTTAAAAATGACTTATTTCCCACTCGAAAAAGCGGGACCGCGGCACGGCGAAAAGAAAAATACCCGTGGAAGCTTTCCGTCTGCGAGAGAGGAGAGTAGGAAAAACGTGGGCTCCGAGTGAAATCTGATCCTATTAGTCGAGAAGGAAATAAGTACCGGCTTCGGGAAGAAGAATTTTTCCATCGAAACGGGTGTCACGAAGCCGCGGCAATCTGTGTTCACGGTACAACGGAATTTCCGCAAACGCTGTAGCGATACGGGAATAGAACGTGAATGAAATCCGACGAAAGCTGCAACCTTAATTCAATATTTGATCTGGAAAAGCGCGAAACCCGCGGCCGCAATTTAACCTTCCACCGGACGGAAATCCTGGGGGAGCCTCGCTGGTTGTACTTTTACCGGGGCTCTCGCATTATGTCGCTTTAATTCCAGAAATTTAAAGACACCCGAGAGAGAACGAAAAAGAGCGGGAGGCAGAGAATGAATGAGTGAGCGAGAGAGAAACAGAGGGTGAAAGAGGAAGAGGGAGAGAGAGAAAGAGAGAGAGAGAGAGAGAGAGAGAGAGAGAGCGAGAGGATGGTATTCCGATTCGCCGAGCGAAAATTCGCGGGCTGCACACGTGCAATGATATGAAAGCTTCCTGAAAAAGCTCTGTTTTCAGAACAACGAGAAATGAAAAATACGTATAAAACGGATATGAAAAAAAACAGTGCAATCTTGCTGCAGCGAAAGGTATGTATCCTAGACTCCATTGTGAAATAAATCGCAGATAAATGCAACGACATCATANAAGGAATTTAGTCTCCAGTCGTCTTTAACGAGGCGACTCTTAAAACTGGATTTCATGCAAAAACGTCGTCCACCCACACAAACTAATTAGCGTAATTAGTTAAATGGCTGGCACTCCCTTAGCGAAACAGAAGAGAGACCATGTATCATTTGGCTAGCTTACACCGAACAGTCACGCAGTGGTCAAGATACATACGTATTTGAACGCGTTTTGTGAATCCACGGTTGGAAAATACTTCGAGATGTTACTTTCAGTTAACATATATCTACGTTTATTCAACGTCATAAAAAGCATCGTATTAAATGTCGCTATTCTTCGCTTTCAATTACATATTGAAACTTTAAAAATGACTTATTTCCCACTCGAAAAAGCGGGACCGCGGCACGGCGAAAAGAAAAATACCCGTGGAAGCTTTCCGTCTGCGAGAGAGGAGAGTAGGAAAAACGTGGGCTCCGAGTGAAATCTGATCCTATTAGTCGAGAAGGAAATAAGTACCGGCTTCGGGAAGAAGAATTTTTCCATCGAAACGGGTGTCACGAAGCCGCGGCAATCTGTGTTCACGGTACAACGGAATTTCCGCAAACGCTGTAGCGATACGGGAATAGAACGTGAATGAAATCCGACGAAAGCTGCAACCTTAATTCAATATTTGATCTGGAAAAGCGCGAAACCCGCGGCCGCAATTTAACCTTCCACCGGACGGAAATCCTGGGGGAGCCTCGCTGGTTGTACTTTTACCGGGGCTCTCGCATTATGTCGCTTTAATTCCAGAAATTTAAAGACACCCGAGAGAGAACGAAAAAGAGCGGGAGGCAGAGAATGAATGAGTGAGCGAGAGAGAAACAGAGGGTGAAAGAGGAAGAGGGAGAGAGAGAAAGAGAGAGAGAGAGAGAGAGAGAGAGAGAGAGCGAGAGGATGGTATTCCGATTCGCCGAGCGAAAATTCGCGGGCTGCACACGTGCAATGATATGAAAGCTTCCTGAAAAAGCTCTGTTTTCAGAACAACGAGAAATGAAAAATACGTATAAAACGGATATGAAAAAAAACAGTGCAATCTTGCTGCAGCGAAAGGTATGTATCCTAGACTCCATTGTGAAATAAATCGCAGATAAATGCAACGACATCATACCCAATAAACCAGCCGTGCTTTATTTCCATGTACTACATGCAGAGAAGCTGCGGAAATTCGATATTAAAATATTGAGAGCGCAATGGAACGTTTATTAGAACGTTCTTCATCGAAGCGCGCGTGTTCGTTAATATCTAAAGCTTGAAAATTCCAAGACAGAATCCGTTTCTTTAAATTCTGCTATCTAATGAAATATTAATTTAGCTGAAAAGATCTCTCGCGTGCATGCACCTCGTTCTATTAAACTGGGCACGATAAAATGGTAACAGTTATTCGGATCAGACTTTATTGCATGCATATAATTTGATATGGACAATTTTGTCATTAATAAGAAAAATAATTGTAATAATAATTGTAATAATCACATACGAGTATGGAGGAAATGTTGATATAAAAGCTAATGCATTTTTTTAATAAGTTACAAAGTGAGAATTTTTTACGTTGATTTGAGGAAGGATCTATATCATTTGAATGATTAAAAACCATTTTAATGCTTCGTTGCACTATTTAAAGTTTTTCATAACTTTTGAATGAAGGTCGTGTATGTAAGGTCAAGAATATTTATGTGTGTGATTTTATTAATATTTTTATATCATTAGTTTTTCTATCCCATTTGTCTAACTTACACGCTATTTTTTGTTTTAAAAAATGCTCTCAGCAATCGTATCTACGATTTCGTATATTGAAGTATGTACTATTGAAATACTGAATTGGTCAAAATCTTAGCGCACATAAAATTTGAATGTAAATTTTTCTACGTCAAATTGATCTTAATAAAATATCTTATCTTAGTGAAGTTATCTTACTGAAATATTGATTCGGCAAAACGATGTCTCGAATACGTTAAAGTTTTAAATCTTTCACTCCATTACATTGATCTCATTAATGCATAAGTAGTATCTATTCAAATATGACTTGGTCAGAGACTTTTATATGACTTTTGAATACTTAAAATACTTTGTGTTATAAAATTTGGAGACAGATTTTGCTTCTCGGAATGAAATTTAGTAAAATATTAGTGTCATCTAGGAAATACTGAATCTGTCAAAAAGATTTCGTACATAACATTTCGTCTATAAGACGTCCCGAATGTCCTATGAACGTCCTACGAACGATCTACGAACGGTCTACAAACGACCTGTGTTACAAATAATGTCTTATGGACTTGTTTAAGATGTCATGCGAACGTCTAAACGACGTCTTTTAGACGTCCATTGACAAAACAAATCGGTTAGTTGTGATATACGCGCCTTTTCTAACACACAGCTCGGTGGCTACTTCTGACACTTATTTAGTCCGAAATCTAAATTCTAAATTGTCTAACCCTACGATCTTTGGCACACCGGGCGACTGCTTTCACCAACTGAGCTATCCCGGCTGCCTGACAACACATTCAGTACCGATCAGTATCGAACAGTACCGATCTCAATCATCGGCACTTTAACGACACTTTTCCCGACGGCCACTACTATAACGGATGAACTTCTAGAAAAGCTATCTTTATAGAAAATAAATTGCTAATCGATACGCTCTTGACGACCACCAATTTGAATAAAAAGAAACAAAATTCACATCGTCATTTTCATCTTCTGGTTTCATCGTTCATATTACAGTTGTATTTAAAAGCTCTTGACTGATTTATTTAAAAAACCATGAAAATATAAAAAATTCCTTGAAGAATTATTTGAAGTATCTGAAAGACGTCTAAAAATAGACGTCTTAAAGACGTCCATTTTAGGGCGTACGACGTTCAGATCTAAAATGGAAGTAAAATTTAAGACGTCGCTTATTGGGAATGTTTGAAAAAAAATGCTGCTTCGAAGTAAATATAATAAAATATAAAAATCTAATATGTGCTATTTAATTAGTCAAAATTAATCTCGTTTCAATAAAGTGGCGATTTAACATTGAACTGATTAAACTGATTTAAAACTGAATTTAACATTGAACTAATGAAAATCTTCTCGTTATCATAAAATTTAAAAGCGTGAAATTATATTTCTCTTCAAAGCTGAACATGCTCCGTCGCCTTTCAGTGTATTCACATACCAGTAGCTGTGAAAAGACGAAGGAAAGAAAGACGAGAGAAGACTTTAGAGTTCGATAAATAAACATTCAATTTAATTCAAATCTTTTCGGTTCGTTGACTCACTTGAAAACCAGCATCTCATCTGCCCAAAGTTCGGTTTGACGTTGCTCGGCAGGAAAGGCAGTTTGTCACTCACAAGGCAGAATAGCGTGATGAACAATGCCAAGCCCCATGCGTATATAGAGTATAGTAGGTATCTTTTGCCTTGGGAGTGTCCTCCGCTATAATTCCCGCGCAGTCTCCTGTAAAAAATTGTACTCTCTGTAATTTTACACGCGTTTAGACTACTTCTGTTCCTTTCGATCTCTACGATTTATTGAAACGCCATACGTCAAGTTAACTAAAAATACCTTGCACGAATACACGGTATATTTTTCGTACGAATATTTAGTCTAGACACGGAACTTTTAATTGTTTACCTGGTGCGGCAGACAAAAATGATTTCTGAAAACCAGTGGGCCACCGAATCGCACGAAGGCCTATGCGATCGATATTCACGAAACACGACGGATGCACTTTCGCATCGACACGCGCCGGATAAGTGGAACACGGCTGTCGAAGATTCGTGTTTCTCGGTCTTCGTGCGATCGAGCAGGTGCAGAATGTAATCCAAAGGCGATTATAACCATTCCTCAAAATACAGGATCGAAAGACACGTTGTCCCAAATAAATGCCATTGTTCCCAGAATCACCGGCTGAACGAAAGTCAAAATACATTCGCGAGAAGATAACCATTCGGAGCACGGTGTTTGAACTCGAGCGCAAAGTGTTCCGTAAAAATAATTCTAACCATCATCCCTTCCTCGTGTCAATTTAACGCTATTTTCAAGTTCCAAAATATATTATTCTGTTAATTTTAGGAAAATTCATCTGAGACTTTATGACTTATTTTTTTCTTTTTTAAGATGAAGTACACTGTCGTTCTTAGTTAAAATGTCTTATTTATTTGAATTTTGAACATCGAGTGTCTCTTACCTTTCAAGCAACGCTCGAATATTCTATAGACATCGTAGAGTTCCAAATATAATTCCATTTATTTGCTTTCACCTATTTAAAAACAATTTGACTAACTCGAAGCATCATTTTTTGGAATGTTAGTTAGGGCAATTTAAGAGAACGGTAATATAACGTTAATTATATATAACGTAAAATTATGTAATGTATAGCGTTTTTACGTGCTGTTAACATTTAGAGTTCGTGAAAATATCAATTTTTCACGAATTTCAACGAAAAGCAGGTAATTTTCACATCTTTCAGTGACTATAACTTAACTATGCGTCAACCGATTTTCGATGAAGAAAGCTTGGAAAAACATCTTATAATTTGTTTTTATCATTCGGTGTTAATTTCTTACTATTCGGTGTAAGATCTTCGAAGAATTCAAGTCATTCGGGCCAATTTTTAAAAAGTTATTTCCTTTGAGTAGGTATTAACAAACAACTGTAAAAGAGAAACGCAAATATACACAGCGCATGCTACGATGAGTGTAAAAAAAGCAGTTTGCCGACAGATCGTTTCATTCAATGCAAAAGATGTGAAAAGAACATTGCGTAAAATATGTCGTAAAAAGAATTGTTTGCATTTTATTATATTGATCTTTTACAATAGCGTCCGTTTGACACGCGAGGGACACCGGCTGTGGGCTAAGATGCCGGCAGCTCTTTAGTCGGACAATCGATAGGTTGTTTCCTCGTCGTTTTCAACCTCCATTCAATTCGTTCGAGTAACTTCTTTGAGAAAAAAAGCGACCGCGGTATCGCGTAGAACACTCGACGCAGATTCAGAGGCCGCGAGAAACTAAATTGAGCTGAACAGAAACTACTTTAGCAAGCTCCGCCGTCCACGCGATCTTTCACGCCGATGACACATAAAAAAACGTAACCTGTAAAGTACTTGCCGCATACTTCTTCGAAAAGTTTCTACATAAAGACCGCGTGCTTGATACCGTGCCTCATTGAAAGCGTCTTTTTTTACACCGCCCTTCGCGTAGATGAGTCACGTTATAACTAATTTCTGCTTTATTATGCCTCGATTTAGAGTCGACTTTCGCCTCGATTATCTGAGTAGCTTTGAAAACCCCCTGGACTATATAGAAACACCGAACAGTCGATCTTCTTAACCCTTTGCACTCGAAGCTATTTTAACCGTAAACCTAAAATAATTTTTCTGACTTATAGTATTTCCATTTTATATGACAAAGTGCATTTTATGCATATGAAATTGAGTCTTGTGGTGACTCGTACAACAGTTACACCTTTAACAATTTCTTAAATGTAAACTTTGTTAATATAAAAATTATCTTGGAATTTGATATAACAATTTTTTAGTGGTGCCTCAGAGTCACCACTCGAGTGCAAAGGGTTAATTTGGTAAAGTCGATTACTGTGGGTTGCCAATCTGCTGTGTTTTGCTTCGTTTTCGGGCATAATTAACTTTACACTTATCGAATGATTCCGATTTCTATTCAAATATAAACAGAATGAAAGAATAGAAAAAATTGACAAACTAAAGGCACAGTAATTGGTCACGCCACAGTAAACGACTCCACTATCTTAGCGATTTTAAGAGACTTGTTCTTTACGAATGTTAAAAAATAAGTTTTAGAAAAATGATTGCATGTAAATTTTATGTATCGATGCTGTAGCAATAAATATAACTAGGCGAACAGTGTATGTTGGCAATAAGGAACATCTGCTCTCAAAATCTTGCCAAGAGTCGAGAAGTTTATTATCGTTGTATGAAAGCAATACGAGTGAACGACGAGCTAATGCATAACTGTACTTACATAGTGCAGTGTAAGTAAATAGCAACTTTCGAACGGACGAATATTTTTATTGCAATTTTTAAATGCGGTCATGGAATGTCGTTTCATAAAGTGAACTTCGAATACTAATATTGAACCATTGCGAAATTGATTATACATTATTAACGATTATTCTGTCAAGGGAATTGTAAAGAAAATTGGTTCCTATTCAACTTCTACAATTGTTCATATTAATTGTTACAGCACATAATTTCAACAGTTTTTAACATTCTGACTATTCGCTAAATTAAATTATTTACAGAAATGTAATTACCTAGAATTAACTGTGAAAATGATTGTTATATTGATCGAATCAGATAAATGCAATGCGACACGAAATCAACGTTTTATATTATACATATTTCAAGTAATGATAGCACTTTTTATATATTTTGTCAGAAATTGTTAGACTTACTAATAATTCTAGATTGCGGATTTTATGCATCTATGGCAGAATGGAGTACGTGAAATTTAACATAGTGGGCAGATTAGAAGAATTAAAGAATGCCAATGTATTCAAATCACTAAAGGAAGAAACAATTTCCCATTTGGTTTCTATTTCTTGCTATTAATGCAGAAAACTTATATTTTAAGCTTTAAAGAAGCAAACAATACCTTGTCGTTCGACTTATAACTGGTATTCTTAACCGTCTCCCTCTCTCTCTCTCTCTCTCTCTCTCTCTCTCTCTCTCTCTCTCTCTCTCTCTCTCTCTCTCTCTCTCTCTCTCTCTCCCTCTCCCTCTCTCTCTCATGTTATGCCGCGACGCCGATATTACTTGCATAAGATCACAGACGAAATATGTCGCGACATAATGCCGCTTGTGCGATGCCACGGATGTGTTATCCCTCGACGCAATACCGTTCGTGCGGTGCCGCAGACATCACGAAATATCTCGTCTTTTACCTTCTACGTACAGTATCGGTGTCGCAACATAACACGTCCATGGGAGCGAATCAGTTAAAACTGCTATATTTACATTAATTATTCCCGTTTAAGTATTCGTCATTGCGACAAAATTTTGATTTTAAATGATTCACTGTGGTTTCAGCAACAGCCGCAATCAAATCGAACAAACTGCCGTTCGTCGCACACACACACACACATATAAGAATGTATGCAATTAACAATAACTCTCAAGACCATTAATAAAATGTCCTGCATTAAATTATGACAATAGACCAAACGCTTATAAATAGTAACTCTAATAATAACTTAATACCCAAACGTTGTCCTGAAAGCGCGCGTCCAGGCTAGACTACCCTTTCGAACAAACTCTTTCTCCGAAGATAAGTTTGCGACAGAAGAAAATTCCGATTCTCGTGAATAACTCACCCGAAAGTCCGCCATATATCGAAGCACATGACGTTTAGCCAGCAAAAAGCAGACAGCAGCGAGAACAGCATCCCGTAACCTGAAAGCAGATTCGTCTCCGAGTCTTGCGAATACTACATTTTATCGAGCGTTTCTCTCGAGCAAAGTATCGAAACATTACAATGAGACGCGTTCTATATACGGTGTCGATGATGCTTCGAAATCGGCAGACGATGTTCGAACGCGCTGCGCAAACCCGAACACGACGGTTTAACTTTCCACAAGACGACGAAACTCTGAAAATAACTCACTGAGGTGATCCGCTAATACGTAATTGTATGCAATTGAGAACGGGTTCGCTGCGTTCGGTGTTTCAGAATTGAAGACGCTAAACTTGAGGCGAAACGCTTTGTTTCATCGACCATGGAAGATTGAAATGAGAAATCCTCTCTATTTATTATTAAAATCATCGTTCGCCTGTCATGTTCCATAATAGACTACGAATTTTTATCTGTGAAAACCTTCTGAAGGAATTCAGGTGAAACGGAGATTTATGTTTAATGCAAAAGATCTTAATAAGCTAAACGTATCGTAATGTGTGAATAATAGTATTCTGTGTTATCTATTTTAACTCTTTCAACTCGGATTGTTTGAAGAATTACTAAAAATTACTGTACAAATAATAGAATATTTTATTCGAATATTTATCATTGGAATGTGGTTTGTTATGCAAACTCCCATTTTCATACGCTGTTTTACAAAAGTCAGAATTAAAGAAAATAAACATTTATAAATAAAAGAAAATGAAAATTTGTACAATTATCGTATTATCATTCATTTTGTTTAGCCATATGATAAATCGTACGGACTTGTTTTCAAAATCATATCAACTTCTGAAACATCAATTTTAAAAATAATTAAACATTGTAAATAAAGTAAATTGTTTTATAAATAAACAAAAGTCATGGTAATTTCAAGATGTCATTTAAATGGAAGTTTAGATATCTGAAATCTTGTTCAGCTTTCATTGTCTTCGGCAGAAGTTTAATTACGCTGCAAAAAAAATTAGCTCAGTTTCACTGACAATGAAATAATTGAGTTCACACCTTTAATTCACTCTGATTACAATGTGCTTTCTATTTAATTTGATTACTATAACGTGTCAAATCGCAGTCCGCTTGCTAGTAGCATCACGATGGTCAATGTTTCCGAGAAGAGAAATTCTGTGCGCAAGTAACGGGTTTTAATTAGTCGCGAGCTGCACGGCAATGAAGCAATAACATACCCAGTATGGAACAAAATATGTTTTCACTAAGGTTGGAGACTCCCGACGGTGGTGTCACCCATGGCATTATGGCAAGACAAATGTAAGACACTAGGAGGCTCGCAGCATGACACATCAATGTCTTCCCATGTAAATTTTGCAGGGAAGGTATAAAAATATACACCAGCAACGTCAACACTAAAAAGACGCAGCTGATTACTTCTAGGAGACTCGTAATTATATACCTGAAAAACGAAAACAATTTTGTGGTTTTCAAGTGAATCCTTTATCATTAAACTGCGGATTTTATACATTTACAGTGACTCCCATTAATGTTTGGACACTTTTTAAAATGCAATAACCTTTTTAAAACTAGAACAAACGATTTGTATTCTTTTAGATAATAGAGGGACTAGTATACCACACAATGATTAAATTACTTTGTTACGATTTTGCTGTTACTTGGAATGACAAAACAAAATCAAAGTCTCTCGTTTCTTAACTTTTTTATCTGAACTTATAACGAAAATTTAAAAAATGCGACTTGTAGATCTCGGTAAGTTATATGCATGCTAAAAATGTCATCGAAATCGGTTACAAGCGTTAAAAGATTGTAAAAACTGAAAATTTCTCACACTTATTGGTGGAAAGTGTAAAAAATCAGGACAAAACTACGATTTTTGCGATCTTTAATTATTTACAGAGCTCATAAGAAGGTCAACCGATATTGGTGAAATTTTTAATATGCATATAACTTACCAAGATCTACAAAACACATTTGTACACGTTTGTTACACGTTTGTTAAAAAAAACAAGAGTTTTTATTTTCTTTTGTCACTCTCAGCAATAGCAAAATTTTAAAAAAGCATTCTAGTTATGGTCTAAAAGAAATCTCATCTAAAATAAAAATTCCTGTTTTAACAAAGTTATTGCGTTTTGGAAAGTGTCCGAATATTAACGGAAATCACTGTATGTCAAAAATGAATAGATGTCATTCGAAGCAGCCGGTAGATTAGGCTTTTTAAAAACCTGTATTATTATTTCTTTTAAATAATAATTTCAAAAGAACTTGTTACATTACATTAACCCACAGACTGCAGTTACCGGGTAATTTTGAATCAGTATTTTTAAATCGACGCTAGAAACAACTGTATATAATTAAAAATGTTCTTACATTATTGTTAATCTATTCAAACTGTTAAGAAAGGAAATACATCTGAATAGTCATGAACATTGTGAGTAGAAATGTAAAAATGGTCTGCCGACCGAGGGTTAATCTAAGTAATTTCATGGATTACAGATAAAATTATTGTAACGTCTGAACAAATAAAAAAAAAATTTTGATCATAAAAATTGATGATCTACGATTTTACAAGAACTAGCAGAAATCTGCCGGCCGATAAAATCTTTAAAGTGTGAGAATGTCAATTATTAGTCTCAGCTTATTAATATTCATTTTACATAAACATCCGCAGTTTGCTTATCGTGAACGAAATTTTAGTTGTTTTACTTGTTATTTTAAATGTATTGCGACAGTTTCAAAACGCTTTTCAAAAATGTCGAAATATTACCATCGAGGAAGGCGAATAACAAAATGCATCCATCCTCAGCCGAGAAATTATGATTATACTACTACAGGTCACTGCATTTTGACACAGTGAAAATATTTGTGATTTGAATAACGCGAGACATGTTTAGTTAACGGTATTTGATTAACAAATCAGGTGTAGGTGAATGTTGTGTTAATTCTTGTCACTCTAATGATTTGATTACACTCGCTTCGGCAATGCATGTGCGATGCACATGGTGCAGCGTGTAAATTCGAAAACATAGGACGCTGGTACGAGGAAAATGGGCACAAAATAGCCTTCGCTTCTCGGAATTGCATGTTAATAAAATGAAGTCGTGAATCTTAATGTGGAGGTGACCGACAAACGACTAATGAACTTATACTTGCGCAACAATGATGAAACATGCGTCAACTACAGTATCTGGATAGCTGATCCTATGCACTTATTATAATTTAAACCGTCTAACACTCGAGGTGATAACAAATGGATTGTCGTTTGATTATAATTTCCGTGGGTTCATTTATCTTGATACAGTCAGAGTTAGGCAAATTTTATTTTAAACAATAAATAACAAATTACAAATTAAATTAATATTTCATCGAATCATTTTCATTCCACAAATAATTTTTTTCTTATTTCTTATTTACAAATTAAATGTTATTTTTTATTTGAATTTTAGGGAAAGACAAGTATTAAATAATTTTTGCTTCTCTTTCGTCTGCGGTATATATTATACAATGCATAGTTTGTACATTAGTTCTGCAAATCAAACGTTATTTCTTATTTGAATTTAGATAAAAGACAAATAGTAAATAATTTTTGCTCTTTTTTTGTTATTGAAGAACTTGAATCATTCCTCCTTGTTGTACCGAATAAACAACAAGCAATTAAATGACGATTAATAAGTAACAATGAAATTTGTATTTATATATAAACAAGAAATAAATTCTATTACTTTAAATAATTTATTTAGATCTATATAAATGAAAAATAATTATTTTGTGTTTTACTTGAACTTTCAAGTAACAAATAATTTTGTATATAAATAATCGTTTAAATGAACATTTACTTAAACGATGCCCAACTCTGGGTGCAGTCTGATGTTTAATTGGAAATATAGGTGCATGTAATGTGTTGGCAAACGGGAAGTTGTAACGAATCAGTGGAATGAGCGTATGATACAGCGAATGAATGCATAGTCGACTGCAGCATTTCGTTGTTTCTTGTGCACTCATCAGACAAATGGGCTTCCACCATTGTTATTTATCCCTCTGCTCGAAGGTACAGGAACGTGCACAATATCTACGTCGACGCTAAACGGTTTGGCTACCTGGCATCGATACAAGTACAATATTCATCATCGCGGGAACTGCTCGGTTCTCAAGCACTTTCCTAAAATTTTGTGTTTACTACGAACATTTCGTTGGGAACAATAGTTTGCAGAAATGCTCAATCTTCTAGACACAGCCAGAATATAGGATCTATAATTTTCTGAGGAACTCGGCGTTCTCGTTTCTCTTTAGTGGAAAAGCGAGCTGCTTTCGCCATATTACGATTAGAAATGGAAATTGCTCGACAAATTTAAATGCGAAATTAATACCGAAAAATGTAGAACAAGAAAAAATTAATACAATTCTCTTTGACGGTACATTTTATACCTCCGAGCACTCATTTACGTAAAATTTTTTTTAAAGACAAACGATAAAAAAGCTCAATCTTGGAAATGATTTTCAAATGAATTTTAACAAAGTTGTGAATAGTGGAAGATTATTTAAATAATCATAGATTTGATTTTCGTCTGACGTACGAAAAATATTCGCGCGAGAATGGAATACACAGAATCGTCTAAAAATATGTTCGTATGCTTGTGAAATGAAAGCAAACGCTTTCGAACAATTATCGTTTAAAAATATGTTCGCTTGTTGAGAATGAAAACGTGCGTTCGGTCAATTATCATTTAAAAATATCTTCGTTCATTTAAAATGTAAGCGAACGTTTTTCGACAACCACAATTCATTATTACAACATCAAAGAGGTACATACTCGTTTAATTGAGTTATTAATTAGTTTCGGCTGATATTTACTTTGTTTTGTGTGTTGTGTGTGTGTGTGCCTACAAATTTAGTTTCTTCTTAAATAATGAAACCGGAAAAATACTTAAAATATTGTCTAAACTGTTACTATACATATTTTTAATCTGATATTTGACGCTGAGAAAAGCACGATATTTTACAAAATATTTATGTTTCTTTTAAATGGCTACTAATGCCTTTACCAATCCCACTCGCCGAGTAGAGATTTCGCTAAGATCAGAACATCGTATAGAGATTGATATAAAATCAATTTCTTCTCGAATTCAGGAAAAACAGGATGGATCGAAATACAAGAAAATCGGAGGTTCGTTTAACAAAATGACTCAGAGACACGAACGCGGTCGCCCAAAAACTGTAAAACTGAGACGAAACGCGATGCTTCGGTTGGTATTTCCATCGGATCTATCCAGTCCCGACTGGCTATGTACTTGTTTAAACTTTACGAAGTCAAACAAACCGTTCGACATTCATCGGCTTAAAAGTTTCAGACTCGCGGATTAATGCGCGCCGAACGATAAGGCGACTGTCTCCGAATTATGGCTTCCTCTATTTAGCATCGTTCCTCCCGTCGCGATAAAAGGACCTGTTTTCCTTTCAACGAAATTCGAAGATATTTTCGGTGCAGTTCTAGAATATCTTGAAAAACTTTTCCATTGACAACGCGACATACTAATGACGATCGTTCGTTTCTCGTGTAACGAATGTACCGAGTATTTTTTTTTTCGACGCTGGTAGAGAGTGCCAGTGGAATGCGAAACGCTTACGTAGCACGTGAAAACATACAAATATGAAGATATTTATAGTTAAACGCGTATATTCTGCGATTCTGTGGGAACAATACGATTAAATTTCAGTTTTTAGCACCGGGAGAACCGCGGTTCGAGGGAGAGCTGAAAATTTCTCCGCGTAAGCAGGTTGTAATTAAAGTCGTCGCATATACAGTGACTCGCATTAATATTCCGACACCATATTGTTACAAGAATTATTGCTCCTTTTTATTGTTTAAGATAGTATTATTGTTTATCAATTGTTTTCTCATATAATAAAGCACTTCTTAAAGTAAGTAGAAACATAAATTTTGTTTATTTATTCCACATGGTTTTTTATATAATAAGCGATAAACAAGATTGTGACAAAATTCTACGTCGCAAAAATATTCGGACAATGAATGAATTACATTAATTTTATATACAATGAAAATCTTTTTAATCATGTTATCATAATATTAATATTTTGTCGGTTGACCCTTTTGTTTTATTACTTCATGTAATCGCTTGGGCATGTTACAGATGACTTTATTTAAATAATCCGGCGAATCCGTTTCCATTCGTCTAACAAATAAATTCGTCCAATTGATGCCATAAATTTTCAATTGGATTTAAATCAGGCGATTGAGGAGAAGGATGCAGTACCTTTGGACAATTGTTTAATAAATATTCCTGTACAATTCTGGCCTTGTGTTTAGGATCACTATCCTAATAAAACTTAAAACTGTACGTATACCCATACTTATAGCACTTGTAATCAAATTTTTTTTTAAAATGTACAAATACTTCATTTTGTCCATAATACCATCGATAAAAACTAGTTCACCTACACCTACAGACGAGATCCCACTATAACTGTAACCCCACACTATTACACTCCTATCACCGTGTTTCACCGTCTTTCTTAAATTTGAAATGTTTAATTCTGTATTTACTTTACGCCACACCATTTTTTTTTGTTTTGCAAATTTGAAAAAGAATATTTTTACAAAGACAGCTGGTAGTGGAATGATGTAATATTTTCGGATGAAAACAAATTTAATCTTTACGGATCCTCCTCCTCAATCGCCTGATTTAAATCCAATTGAAAATTTATGGGATCAATTGGACCGCAAAATTCGTAAAACACGTACAAAAACAACAACAAAGATAAAACAACGTTTGTTGGACGAATGGAAACGGATTCGCCGCATTATTTAAATAAAGTCATCTGTAACATGCCCAAGCGATTACATAAAGTAATAAAACAAAAGGGTCAACCGACAAAGTATTAATATTATGATAACATGATTAAAAAGATTTTCATTTTATATAAAATTAATGTAATTCATTCACTGTCCGAATATTTTTGTGACGTAGAATTTTGTCACGATCTTGTTTATCGCTTATTATATAAAATACTATGTGGAATAAATAAACAAAATTTATGTTTCTACTTACTTCAAGAAGTGCTTTACTATATGAGAAAACAATTGATTCAATAATACTATCTTAAACAATAAAAAGGAGCAATAATTTTTCTAACAATATGGTGTCCGAATATTAATACGAGTCACTGTATATAGAATGAGGATGAAATGTAATAATGAACGTTTGCATGAGTTCAATCCTGGTTGCGATGATTCAACACTGACTTGGGATATTTTGTGAACAACCGAAAGGTGCAAATAATGAGATGAAGATGATATCTATTATATGATGTATAATTTTATGTGCGAACGATAAAATCGAAATTAGTTGCCAAACTTAGGCTGTTGCACACGAAATGGCGCTTTTTTTACAATTCAGACTTCCCGGCCTGCAGACAGCGTTCTACATGCATAATTCGAACAATATACGTCCATTACGTGAATTAGCGTACATTTATGAATATTGTACAACACGTGTAATGGAAAAAAATCGTCTTTATTGAACATGGAAAGGAAAGAAATTCATATAATCTTCATCATTGATGTGCGAAGTAAGAACAATTTCTTTTGATGTTCTATTCAACACTTTTATGTCAATAATGACACAATAAACATTAGCGGTCTGTGAGAAGATAGTGGCAGCGTAAGTTTTAATTGGTATAGTTTGTTAATGAATTGTTTACCTTTCGTTCTTCCGATTTCTTTTCGAAAGGGCATCAATGTCTTAGTATCACGTTGGGAATAGTGTGTCGAAGTCGAAGGAGACTATTTTCATTAAAGAAATATTTAACAAGATCGTTAAACAAAGGTTTAACTGAGAAGTTCAACAAACGCCATTTCATTTGCAACAGTCTAGCATTTTTATTAAATTCAGTGACTGGTGTCAAGAAATTGCCTCTTACTTGATATTAGATGTCTCCGGTTGGATTTCTGGGAAACATACCAAAGAATACACCGATCCATTGCCCAGTACATCCAGACAGTAGGAATTGAGGTCGTTTAACAAAGTGGGAGCTTGTCGGAGATATCCCTCTTTTGTCAAACCCAATATTTCTCCTAACTCTATTTTATACACATCAGTGCAATTGCGACCAACCAGCAGATCGTATCCTAAAGAATAATACAAGAACATTTCAAACGAGAATCGAAAAGCATTTAATACAAGAACAGGGTCAATTTACTCGAACGATTCGCATTAAATATTACATGTACGAAATGAAAGTCGGATTAAATCTTGCGACATTTTGGTTGAGAAATTACTGCGGCAGCTGCGATCTTCGAAATAGTTGCTGTTATCATTTACAATCTTTTGCCGTTTATCATGTAACTTGTGTTTCCATGTTGAAAATTGTTTTATACCCAAAGCTGTGTGCTCTATCAATAATATCGAGACGACAGTTGTGCAAATATTATTTTAAGTTTGCGATGTGAATCAGATTTTATCGAATACCTTGGAAACTACGAGTATTAAAGTTAGAGGAATCGCGCCTAGATATCAGTTTTGCGCAGTTTTCAATCAAGAATCTAGTAGCGTAACCTGTGATTTTAGATATTTAATTTCGTTTGAAAAAAGCAATAAAATATTTGCGTAAATAAACGGAAAATACGAAAACGCAAAATTACGAAAACAAAGACTACACATACAATTTTATAAATAATCAGAAATGTACGAGAACTACAAATTACAATTATTAAAGCTAAGAACAGAATTGATGAAAACATAATAAAAAATATTCATTTCAATCGTGTAAAATCGTATCTATTATATGATCCATGGTTGTGGAAATGTATTGAATGACTAATATTTTTATCCTACATCGCGATTCAAATAAAATAATTTTTGTTAACAATTTGTGTTCTTATGATCCACTGATTAAACGGTATTTTCGTTCTTTCAGCTGTTTGTTACAATAAGTCACGGTTACTGTTGACAAGATTTGTTTTTGCATTTGGAAAATCGAATAAAATGCGGTACGGTAAACGCAACAACTGTCGAAATTCATTTGTGCGAACTTTGAGCTATATAAATATGCTACTAAACAATAAAAATCTTCATTTCAAATATGGCGCTCAAAATGTCGGCAGTGTATAATTTTTACGCATTGTGACTTTTCAAACGACATAAAAACAACGTTTTGTCTTAATAACAGGTAATACATTTCTAACCATGGACTGGTGTACATTGCAACAACGCGTTTGCATTACTCAAACTTACTGTTGCATTCCACACAACCCGAGAAAATATTCAGTTTTAGTGATCGAAATGTCGTCAACATATTCACGAAATGCAGATTTCAGATGGCCTCCGAAATTATGCGACTTAACACCACTACATCTTTTTTTCGTGAAGTTTTTTCAGAGGTCGAGTCTACGATAACAAGCCACAAATAATCAATGAACAAAAGGATTACATTCCAAATTCGTGAAATAGCACCAGTAGGTGCTTTCAATGTATATTATCAGTTGTCGTTAATATTTCTTGAAACGGAGACGTCCGTTCTTTTTGGTTATTGATTACATTTACACGCATTGAATTATATTAAATATTATTCATAAAACTCTGCATTTATCCCAAATATCTTCTCAACCAGCAACATACCGAAAATTCATTGAAAATTTCGATACTTGCGATGCCTGCAGATGCAGACAGAGTCGTGATGAGTATTGGATATTCTGTTCTGTGTACATTTATAACAGATCGTACTTCTAATAAAAAAAGCAGCTTGCAAAATTAACATATGCTATGTGTTTTACGAGACAGAAACACGCAGACAGGTCTTTTGTCTGACCCGCTCTACGTCTCAGAATATCGAACCGACTTTCTTTTTGTACATTATTTGATGATTTCAAGGGGAAACCTTTTTTTACACAAGACAAAGAAGTGAAATTTTAAAGGTAAAACGAAAATTAAACGAAAAACAGTGAGCAAATGAGAGGCGAACTCGGCTGGCGCATTGCGGCCGAGCCAAGGAACGGACGAAGCCCAGTTCTGTTCATTGGCTCGGCCGTCTCGCGCCAGCAGATCTGTTCTCTCATTGGTCACTGTTTTCAATTAATAACTCAAAAAAACAAATCCGCGGATTGCATTTTCGTTAAGGAAAAAGTTACTTCAAATGACCTCAGGAACCCCACATTTCCCGGAAATATCATAATTTTTGACACCTTGTAGGAGTCTGAATGAAGAATTCGCAACGGAAAACACACAGAGAAGTATGTCTATCGCGCGTTAATTCGCTTAATCGTGAACACGGGGATCACCAGGCGAGCTTCTAATTAAAATTTTCAATTCGATTGGCTGGTAAATGATACAGAATCGGTACCCGTGCCAGTAATAATTACTAGAGCCAAAGTAATCGCTTTGATTCGTAACAGACGTGCCCTATTGAAACGAAAAATAATGGGCAAGAGGGTGCAATCAATTCTCGACAGCGTACTGTTGAATATCTGAAAAAGTTGATTAAATTTTTTCTCGCGAAGCCAGACCTGTGCCGTCCCAGGCAACCTCCGTGAGATTCGAGATCGCGTCGTAAAAACGGCGCGGAGCTGAGGACGCGTCCACATCAATGCACTGGAGAAACCTCGAAAAAACGCGGTTCTCTCGACAACACTTCCTCACGCAGCTGTGTTTCTGACAGAACTCCGAGTTTCTGCAAACCCGAAAAACTAGTCGCCGGCTCGTCCTCGAATTCGGAGTCAGTTCTAGGCAGCTGTTGTCGATGGATGCTGCCACCTTCTCGTGAGATCCGTTCTCCGATAACGTCACCTGCAAACAAATTTTCTTCGGTTTAGAGGAACCGTTCAGAATTTCACGCGTTCGTTGCATTTCTGCTACCCCCTGAGAGCCACTGTCCCCTTTTTAAGGGGTGATCCTCAAGTAATCCATTAAAATAAAGACGATTTTCGATTATTGAAACAATAAATCGTGTTCGCATAAATCTCGACGGCGTTGATCGGCATGCAAACCAGCTTTTTTTTCCTTCGATCTAAAGCAAAAAATAAGACGGAGTTTTTTCATAATAGAACTACGTGTCGTATCAACTTAAATCCTATTTAAAACAATGCAAAAAGAATGATAAAACGGTAAAATTTTTATTTTAATAAAAATCACTCCTTTGTTTTCAGAGCCACGTTTTATCATTCTCTTTGCATTCATTGAAACAGAATTCAGGCTCGTACGACGCATAGGTCTGTTATGCAAAAAGTTCGTCTTATTTTTTGTTTCGAATCAAAGGGAAAAGTGGGTAGACTGAAAAATGGTAGACTGCAAACCGATGAACGCCATCGAGGTTTATCGGAACAAGATTTATTGTTTCGGTGAACGTCCATAAACTGTAACGAAAAAGAAATTGATGCACCTTGAAATGTCAAAGAATACGTATGTAAAATAAGGAAATGTTTCGTGAATGTTTTACGTTGTACAAAAATTGCCGAAAATCATTCTCGTTTTAACGGTTTACTTGAGGCTCCCCCGTTTAATTGCCGGATTTTCAGCTTAACCGATGAGCTTAACCGACTAATTGGCGCAGCGATAAACGATCGATACGATGGAAAGGTAAACATTATGTTTAGAATTGTGCGAGAACTCGACGATTCCGGGATTCTCAATCATGTCAAGATTTCCGAGAATATTCGGGATTCTCTACAATGTTGTTTCACAAAATACTTTCTCGCAAAAGTATTCGAACGATCTTGGAAACGGAATGACATTTTTTAAATTAGGCGAAATGGCTTGTGAATTGTTTCAGGATGTTAGAGGAATTATTTTGATCGTAAATTACAATTTGGACAAACAATACCGTGATCCAATTGCGTCTGACGTGTCAACGCATTTGCATCCGCCGCGATGCTTGTCAGCTATCACCTATTAGTTAATATTGATTAGTGGATTAGTTAACTATCATCAGGTAGATAGTACGCCACTCAGTATGTATCGCAATAATAACATGACAGGTGCACCTCGTGCGGATTATTCCGCAATTGCTGATTAGTTAATAAACCCAATGTGGACGGAGTAAATTTTTGTACATTTACAAAGATAAAAATTATTGAAAAAAATGCGAAGAATATGTTCTTCTGTTTACGACAGCTAGAAATGTGAAAAAATTGATGAAGAACTGGTAATGACTTTCCGAAGGAGGGTCGCATTTACGATCATCTCCCCTTCGAAAAGGGACGTAAGGCAATAACACGATCTAAAGCCAATAACACCAAATATCGCTACGCAGTAAGAGTGATTCGAAAAGTCGCATTTTGATGTGTAGCCCGTTATTTTTAAATACTACTACTGTGCACGCGTGACATCCGAAGTAGACAACAGTTTATGAGTGAGTAAGAAGTATTAATTGCATTAATACTTAGAAGCATTAATTGCAGCTGGTTCCAATATTGTTGCTTGAAATTACGTTGCAACGTTGCTTGAAATTTTTCAGAGAGGAAATAATCCTCTGTCTGTCTTCGTACATTAAAATTTTTGAATTATGACCGAGAACATTTGACTGTCCATAAATGTATTCCATAGAGAACTTATTTATGATAACTCACAATCTGGATAACATTTTATTCAAATACTAATTTGTTAGAATTATTTACACATTATTTACACATTTTTATTTAAACTGTCTTTACAAATTAGGCCACGAGAATTTGGCTTTACTTAAAGATCCTCAACAGGGAATCAATTTAATATGCTCTATTAAAATTTAAGATAAATCAAGAGCGTACGAAAAAATCATAAAGAACAGAGGGCATTTCCATTTTGTAAATATTTACCAAAATTACCAAAAATTTCTGTTGCACTTTTCCGAAAATGTTTTGGCAACCGAAAATAGTTTCGAGCAGCCAACTTTCACACAGCCATCTCCAAAAATAGAAGTTTACACGAAGATCGACTCATCAGAGAGATTCATCGAGAAAGAATAGTGTTGCCTCTTCACCTGCCGATTCCCAAGGACAGGCCACAACGGTACCCGGCCTAAAGAGACGTCCGACGACCGTGAAGTTCTCTCTTTTTTGTCGCTTTTAGAAAAGGAAGAGCGGCCGTAGACTATTATATGACTGTCCGACCGTTTCGATACGCGGTTCGCTTCCTCGTCATTATTTCGTAAGCGCGGCAGGTGAACGATCGTAAAACGAAATCGATGGAGGAAATCAGCCGATGGAACTGGCGATAACGAGCCGCGAAAATAAGGCTTGCCCGTTGACAGCGGAGAACGTCTGACGCGGTACGGATGTCAGGATTATCAGATTTGTCAAACACCCTGGAAACGGTGTCGCAAATCGCGGACACAGATCCTTATCTTGTCTCTCGACTATCTAGCCGGGTTTACGAATCGCGACATTCACCTTTTCTTCTAATGGAACATCCGTTATCGGCAGACACGCTTTTTCAGACAGTTCTCTCTGGGATATGTACCAGAACTTTCAGTTTTCCTGTACTTTCATGGTAAAGAGTCACTTTGTACCTCTCTTTGATCGTTTAGCAGAGGTAGACAAATTTAAAATGCTGTTTGATAGTAAATTTGGGGAGATAGAAACTGGAATTGACACGAAGAGATGTGCAACTCGAAAATACCGGAAAATATGAGACCTTCTGTATATTACGGAATTTTTCATTGCACAGAGGGGAATTTTTAAAGAGCTGTAGATCAGTGTAATGGGTTTAAGTTTAGGTTAAATTAATTTACTATATCAGAGAGAAGAAAAAGACAACGAAAGTTATTTTAGATAAAATCCATCGAATCGTCGATGGCCGTTGGTTTCGTCTAGACTTCGGCTATCATATAGCGATAATGGAAATGTATTAATCCATTTTAAAAAACTTCGACGACTTTGAAATATCAAAAAATGTAACCTTGAACAAATTTTTTTGCCTATCATGATATTTGCCCCTCTGAATAAACTGACATCTGACATTTTTTTCGTCACAAAAAGCAAGCGAGATATTTTAAATGCTCGAGTTAGAGCATTTTGAACTGTTTGGTGAATTTGGGTAGTAAAAGAGAATTCTATGTATATTACAATTAGCCCACAGATATTGTGCATTCTGACAGAAACGATTTTGTCAAAAACGAAACCATAATGAAATTAGAAGAATTTGAGAGAATTTTTATATCATGCAATTTATTGAAATTATTCAAGAAGAAAAGACATCGTCATCTGGCTTACATTTCCTACAATTAATTCAGACAATTTTTATTCTGCAGTCTAATTCTAACAAATTTGTTGAATTACCGGATTGGAATGTTTTCTGTTGTTCCAGAAACATTGTATAGGGACTAGAATATTTAATTTGCACCACATTTAAACTATTAGCTGCAGTCAATAGCGATGGGAAGTCATTATTGGACACTCTTGTATACTTTCTCGGACCATTTTCACAATATGTAATATTTAAAGTTAAATGCTGTTCAATTATCTAACAATCATCTTATTTAACTATAATTAAACACTAACATTTAAAAATAAAACATTTATCGTTTACTAAAAGCTGAGAATGTAGTAGAATTGAGTTAAAAGAATATTTGAAGAACACCATCGATATTTGTATACCCTCCCACACTTTTTGCAACCATTATTCAAGCAATATTTACCATAAATTCTAATTGAAAGAATCATGTAAATCTCTTTCATTGTCTAACAAAAGCTGGGAACATTCCACAAAGAATTTAGTACCAAATATAAAAAGATTAAGGGTGCAGTGGGGACGAAAACTAGTTAAAAGGGTAGTAGAAAAATTTGCTGCTAGCTTAAAAGGGTGACAAATGCTCAGAGTTAGGATTTATATGGAATTTAAACGGTCAGATGTACTCCGATGTTAATCGGAGACCTTGACTCGACACCCTCTGCAATGCGGTTCTCGGTTTTAGCAGCGACGCGTCGGTCCTACGCCACTGCAAGCCGGTACTACCACGCCCTGTAGATCCTCGAATGATGAGTCGGATTTATTTACCCTGCCGCATTCTTTTGCTTGCCGTAATAAAGCCAGCACGCCCCCTCGGGCTACCCCCGCACGGTGGTTGCGCGCGTTCAAGCCAAAAAAAGAAGGAGAGCAAAACATTGATATTTATTACGGTACAGGCGATAAAACACGGGGTTCTGAAAAAAAATAGGTGATCCAGATTGACATTCCTGGAACGATAAGCAATGCGGTAAATAACAATAACTCCATAGCGAGGAAATTGTAACAAAACATAATCAAAACTGATAAATGAGTTTCATATAAATAATAAATATTACGAAATAATTACATTAATGTTCAAGCCAGAGAAACGTATAAAAATGAAGCCTGAAGTCCGTAATTTATTAATGAATTGAACTGAAAGTTCCAGGCAACACAATATTTGTAGTGGGTTCATATTCCCGTTCGTTCACGAGAGCTTCAATTAATATTTTACAGTCTCCCTTTTTATGAGCAATTAACGGTATCGCGCAGGGCGTTGCTTCGATTACAATATCCACTGTCCGTTGCTTACGAAATAAATAGAGAAGATACGTTACTGTTTTCATAACACAAAATGTTACCATTTCCGCGTGACGAATGTGCTCGACAGATACAGTGAACCGGTTAAATTAAGTAAATAAACGAATAGACTTTTCAAAGAGATTACGACAGCTAATTGGTGAACAATATTTATTCAGATAAAACAATTCGGCAGTAGAGAATTTCGTGCGCCGTCTTTTTATCAGCTGTTATTAAACTGTTTCTCTCATTGACTTTGAAATATTGTTTCTTAAATGTTTTCGCTCGGCGAGCTATAAATTTCC